ATTAAACCCCAAGGGAGTCCTACCAAAATCCTAACTTGGCTTCAAACCCGAACTCGAAAAATGGTCAAAATGGAATTCCAATCGGTTGGAATCGAAGGCCTCGTCAAGGCAAACAATGAAGCCTAAGGCATCACCATTATTTAATAAAGGGAAGAAGTCCAAAAGAGGAGAGAGAAAATGGCAGCCATGGGAGGAGCTTTAGCCAGCCAAGAGAGGGGAAGAGATGAAAATATCTGATTTTTCATTTTAGAGACCCCTATTTATAGAAAAACCCTAAATGTGCCCTGAACGGATCCCGCCGGGTCCGAAAAAGTGGAATTTGAGCAGACGCTCTCAAACAGCAGAACTCCGTGAATGAAAGAGAACCGAAATGAGAAAATATGATCAGCGGTAGAAATAGCGTCGAAAACTCAGTCCCGAGCAAAGAGATATGTCCCAAACAAATTTGGTGCTAACCGGGGCGGAAAACCTGAAAACTGTAGGGTTCGACCACAAGACAACTCCAAGAGTACACAACTCGACGAAATGTGAAAATGAATACCTTACGGGGATTTAAGCCCCATGGAGACACTTAGCAATTAACTTTTATTAATTGCACAAAAGTCCCTACACAAAAGGATAACTGCGCAAGTGACCCCAAATGAAAATATCTTCCAAAAGATATTTTCTTAAAAACCCCTAAACCAAAATATCTTCAAAAGATTTTTATGAAAAATACCCCAAGAAACAAAAATGTTTCTGAAGAATCTCTTCATCCACGCCCCTGCGGGAAAAGGAAACAACCGGCGAGCTTTTCTCCAAAAGTAAAGCTACGCCTTTCAAGGAAACCAATAAGGATGGAAGTACGAGAAGTCAAAAACCAACTCCGAGCACAAAGAGTGAGGCTACGCGAAAGGAAATTTTAACTAAAAAATTATATCCTTAAAAATGGAGGAAAATGAAAAGGAAAGAAAATGACCGGGTCATTACAACCTACTTTCCTTAAAGAGATTTCGTCCCCGAAATCAAGAACATTCCCAAAAGAACCGAAGAAGGACCGAACACATGGTCACACCAAGAAACGGATTATAAAGTACCTAAGGATAACTCCAAAGGTTTCAAGATCAACGAAGAGACACAAAACCGTGAATAGTAAAGCACCTCTCCAAACGAATTAACATACTAACCCAATGTCAACCACCCAAAGGAGATCAAGGCAACTACACATCGAAATAAGGAACACAACCAGAAGCAACATGGCAGCACGAATAGTGACTAGAATCCGCCTACAACGTACTCAAGGTGCGGTAGCATCGACAACATCAAGTGCCCGCCCACACTCACATTACTAGCTAGGTAATACAAGGTAGTATCGACGGCAACTAGCACTCGCCCACCACACGCAACTTGTACAGTAGCATGATAGTATAAATCCCTAATTCGTCACCTGCCCCCAACAAGCTTACCCGTGAAACCTATCGATACAAATGACATCAATGTCAAAATGGTCATTACCAAAACACCACGGAAACTAGGCAATTTGTGAGAGTTGCGATATGGTCCAAAGATGTCTGGCCAGACCATCCTGGCCAATCCAAAACTCCGACAACAATGTCATAGATACCGCTACGCTTAAGGCTTTAAATCCTCAATACCAGAAAACTAACAACCCAAGGTCTCAAAACACCATTGTCAACCACACTAGTCACGAATCCAAAGCCTGACAAGTCTATGCCCTCAAGCCAATGGATCGAACTTTACAAAATCAAATAACATCACCATTGCCCTAATCACAACGACTCCTAACAAAACAATCCACCCAAAATCCTCCACGTCGTCCTAAAGCTAACCTACCACAAGGCTACGCCTAGGAATCCAAACACCGGATCAAGCTCACACACACAATCCCAACGACTAAGGTCACACAACCCTTAGTACAGTACATGAATTATAGAAGAAATGAATTAATTAAGGCAATTAGTCATGAGACATGCACACCTATATATATATACAAGTATACTAAGCAATGTCGAAATGGAAACGCTATATATATATGCACAAGTATACATTCACAAGTAAACTAAGCAGTACTAAATCCATGGTATACAAGTTTACGGGCTCAGTATACTACACCAACACGAAATGAAGTAAGCAACGCACAAGCATACTAGGTATAAGTATACTAAACGTAAATGAAAACCTACGCACCATACAACTAAACACATAGTGTACAAGGGCATTTAAATATGCTACCTATCACATAGGGGTCAAGCATCAAAGACACGCTACACATCACCTATGACTCTAGCATGACAAACAAATATAGTAAATGGAAAACACATCATCTATATCAGCAAATAACTACTAATAGTCACATCCCCTAACATATTTCTAAGGCATGCTTAAAACAACAAGGTATATAAACATGTAAGAAAGACTATGAAAATAACAATCCCGCAAAATCATATGCAAAAAGGGATGAAATGTCTCTCAAAAGGACGAACTCACTGAAAGTGGAGCCCAAAAACCCAGATGGTTCCAATCTCTCACCGTGAGGAAAAGAATCATCTCCCAGAATGAACACTAAGGTTCCCGAAACAAAGAGTCTGCAAGTCTTTCCCAAGACTGGCTCAACCACAAGGTGGAATCCTAACCCCACACAAAACAAAATGATGCAATGGATAGTCCCAATACTAACCATTACAAGACACCAATAAGAGAACGCCTTTCAAGACACTAATGAGTGCGATGGGAACTCTACAGGATCCTATCAGAACCCTAAACACAACCCCAAGTCTCCGATGACGATGGAGAGTAATTAATTACACCAATGCAATTAATTACACGGAACCACTCACACCCCAACCTAAGCTCGTAAGAGCTGTCCAAGGCAAGACTAGAAGAGTCCTAGGTCAACGCACCTATCAAATCCCTAACCATCACTCTAAGAAGAAAAGACACAGGAACCCCGCCGTTGTGGCTCAAGAAAACAAACCTCTGAATCCCCAAGGAAGGACACAAGTCAATCCGACTCATCGTCCCATGACGCTAAAAACAAGACCCCAATGACGTCATCACATCAAGGTCACCACGAAACTCCAAGAGACGATGCCCTAGTATCAATCTCAACCAACCAAATTGGGACAACCCGCAATGCCTAAACAAGACATATAAATAAACAACTACGAAGTAACATAGTAATGGCTATATACTTACACAAGTAGTAAAGAATCACATAAGGCATGTCAATGTATACATCATACAATCATGCTAAGAATAACAAGCACATGTAATACGCTAAGGCAAACAAGCATTACCATCATGTTAAGCATACAAGCATAAATCAACTTGCTAAGACAGTCAAGCATATACAGTGTACTAAAGCCGACAAGCATATACAGTATGCTAAGGTAAATAAGCACATACAAAATGCTAAGACCTACAAGTATATACAATGTACTAAAGTAAACAAGCACATATATCATGCTGAGACAGTTAAAATAAACTTCTAAACATACATCCACTTAAGCACGTAAACATGTTATCAAGAATCAACTAAACACTTAGAGCATGGCAACACAAGCATGATATGCACCCAAAACTCATCGTCCTAAGGTTTTCAAACCTAAGAGCTCTGATACCACCTGTGACAACCCTAGATTTTTTAAACCCAGTGTGTCCTGTGATGACCCGTAACGGATCCAAAATGAGGAAGCTAAACAAAGTCATGGCCTCTAGAGATGTACATCATCCCTAAGACACAAAATTGGCTTCCTGTGGAGTCCCGAGACTCAATGGAAGCAAAAAGAAAACGAAGGTTTTAAAACCATACAAGAAATGGACCAAGGGTAAAATGGTCATTTCACCCATGAATGGGTGCTACCGTGCACACCATTGGAAACATAACAAAAACTTAATAAAGTTAGACTCAAGAATTGCCTGATTCGGAGTCCGAACAGAAAAGATATGAAGATAGAATAAAATGGCATTTTTCAATTAAGAGGTACCACAACCCTATCTCACTAAAACTGTCATAACTCTTACTACGGTTGGAGTTTTTGTGTGTGGTTGGTACCATTGGAAAGCTAAATTCAAGCTCTTGAAGTTAGGCTCAAGAATCACCCAATTTGGTTCAGAAATGAAGGAGATATGATCCTCTGAAGTTGGAATAAGAAAGTTGTCCAAAAAACTTAAAAGAATTCAAGCTTCAGGGAGGATCAGCAGGCTAACGGCAAGGATCAGCCGGCTGATAGCAAGGATCAGCAGGCCGAAATACCCTATCCAGGTTGCAAACTCACTGGAATTGGTTTCTAAGAGCTATCAGTCGGCTGATGGCTCTTGTCAGCCTACCGATGCAACAGATAGCAGCAAAATCTACTGCTGCAAAGTGTGGGGAAGGTGTTTTGCCCAACCCTAAAGCTATACATGCATTCCATATGTCCCGAAATAAGTTTTAAAACATGTCAAAGTCACAATTAAGCATTTATAACATGCTAAACCAAAAGAGAAATTTGAATCAAACTCCAATGCATGAATTTTGCATAAAAACTCATAAATCACCCTATGAAAGTTCCAAAACTTAAATTTAAGAGTTTTGTGAGATGTGGACATGCCCGCAAAAGTAAAAAGACATTGAAGACGCATCCCAATGGCCCACGACTTCAAAATACCCTCAATGCAAAATATGACCTCTCAAACCTCAAATTTTCTTAAAATTGCCTAAAAAAGTGAAATGCAACACCATGACATATATATGAAAACGAAATGGTGACGGCCCTTGGCCACACCTCATACATATCAAATGAGTCCTAGTGAATGTGCTCGTACACACTTTACACCACCCGATTGGAAATGAACCTTTAAAGGCTCGAATTTTCCTATTTTAGCCTAAAAGTGCAATATATAAAACTATAATGCAAAACCTAAAACAAAATGGTGTTTGGCCCTTGACCACACCTTATACATGGTAAATGAATGCCAAAGAACAATATTCAAACATAATGCACACTCCGGTGCAAAAATGATATTAAAATCCTTGATTTCATGTTATTTCCATTTAAGGCAAATTTAAATATTTATAAACATACATGGGTTTCAAATGAAGTTTAGCCCTTGACCACATATCATATACATAGAATGAATATCAAAAAGTGTGTTTAGGCACACATTACAAGTTCCAAGGCAAAAATGACATTTTGGCCTAACTATACAATACAACTTTAAAAAAAATAAAACTCAAGCATGCTAACACTTGCATGTGAACAAGAATACATTTAAAAAACTTCAATTCATCAAAACGATGTTGAGCATCCCAAACCCAGGCATCCGTACCTGAAAACAACCCGATAACTTTGGGGTGAGTAAGCAAGTTACTCGTAAGGAATGAGCATGCATAGACCTAACTTTTACAAGGTTATAACATTAACATGAAGCAATTCAAAACGATCATACTACCTAACGTCTATGTCATACGTGAGACTCAGGTATCATCCTTAGCTACTCATGCAATTGAAATGAACTACGGTATATAAGTATACATGCTCAAGTACACTAAACCGTATTACAACATGATACACGACATACAAGCATACATATTCAAGTACCTTAAATCATGTTAAACAAGATAAGCAATATCTAACATACATACACAAGTATTCGATATATGTAGAGTACTCATAAATCAAGTATACAAGCACAAGTATACTAAGCTAAACGAAATACACATAAGACAAGTATACACGGCACAAGTATACTAAATGAAATTTAAACTTACGGAGCAAGTATACAAGTTCAAGTATACTAAATAGGATTCAAATACCCGAAGTAAGCATCAATTCTCAAGCTACAAGTAATCCATGATTAACAAGTTGAAATTAAATACGAAATCAAATAGTGGAAAGACTCGGACATGCGGTCGCTAGACCAAGTATTTTTTGGTAATTACGACCCACAAGGTACCACCTAGTGCTCACTTATGGCTTAGAAGACTCTTGTCTCCGTACTAGAGTCAAACCCTAACCATCACATAAATTATATCCTCACAAGCTTTCCAAAATTAATAAGTTCGAAACTTATACAAAATCAAATGCAAGTTATCACATTCCATGCACAAGTAAGATTGAATCCACACAATTCATGTCCTAGAATTCAAGTGTAAATAGTATATGACATGTCATGTCCTCAATATGCAATTTATACACAAAGTAAGAATATTTTACAACAATTGAGCCACATTACCATCCTAAGCCACAAGTACTAAATAAGCCTCAATTTAGTAACTAACTTTCAAGGTAAACAATTGTAATATTCTATCAAGTTATATACCTACACAAAATATATTTTAAAAAGTTATGCAAGTCAATAATATTTTATATCATGCTAAATCCAATGACTATTTCAAGATGCCACAAGTACTAATTCTACATCTAATTAGTAATATGTTCATAAGGTAATTAATTGTACTACATTTCATGAGATTATTACCCTAACATGAAAAGTATCTAGATTTCAAATCAATTCCAAATAACTTCAATTTAATATATGTTAAAGGACATAGCACAGTCTTCATATATATTACATCCAACATCAATTTAAGTGACTAAAACACTTGAAATAAAAATAATTAAGCTAATTAATTAATTTTCTCTAGATTTTCAAGCAATTCCAAATGTTCTCAAATTAACATAGGTTAAAGAACATAGCAATGTCTACTTTAACATCACATTACAAGTTGATTTCATGCTTGTTACAACTATGTGAATAAATCTTTCACTAAAGATAAATATTAAATAAAATTTACAATTCTTATTCAAATGCTCTCAATTTAATATATGTTGATAAACATACCAAGGCCTAATTTATTAGCATGCCACAATTTAATTCTAAGGTGCATACCATCATGAGAATTAAATCTTAAGCATAGAAAATAATTAAATTAAATTCTAGATCTTGAACAAAGGCATGCTCACAAGTTGTATATGTTTATAAAACAATCAATACAATATTAATATAAACCTAAGACACCCCTTACCTCATTTTATGATGAAATCACAAATTCCCACCGAAATGAAACCGCTCTAAATTCAACGAAACTTCAAGGTTTTATCGGGGACAACAAGGAGATCATTAAACCCCAAGGGAGTCCTACCAAAATCCTAACTTGGCTTCAAATCGAGACTCGAAAAATGGCCAAAACGGAATTCCAATCGGTTGGAATCGAAAGCCTCGTCAAGGCGAACAATGAAACCTAAGGCATCACCATTTTTAAATAAAGGGAAGAAGTCCAAAAGAGGAGAGAGAAAATGGCAACCATGGGAGGAGCTTCGGTTAGCCAAGAGAGGGGAAGAGATGAAAATATCTGATTTTTCATTTTTAGAGACCCATATTTATAGAAAAAAAAAAAAAAAAAAAAAAAAAAAAAAAAAAAAAACAAACCCTAAAAGTGCCTCGAACGAACCCTGCCAGGTCCGAAAAAGTGAAATTTGAGCAGACGCTCTTAAACAGCAAAACTCCGTGAATGAAAGAGAACCGAAATGAGAAAATATAATTAACGGAAGAAACAGTGTCAAAAACCGAGTCCCGAGCAAAGAGATATGTCCCAAACAAGTTTGGTGCTAACCGGGGCAGAAAACCTGAAAACTGTAGGGTTCGACCACAAAACAACTCCAAAAGTACACGACTCGACGAAATGTGAAAATGAGTACCTTACGAGGATTTAAGCCCCATAAAGGCACTTAGCAATTAACTTTCATTAATTGCACAAAGGCCCCTACACAAAAGGATAGCTGCGCAAGTGATCCCAAATGAAAATATCTTCCAAAAGATATTTTCTTAGAAACTCCTAAACCAAAATATCTTCAAAAGATTTTTATTAAAAACACCCCAAGAAACAAAAATATTTTCGAAGAATATCTTCATCCAAGCCCCTGCAGGAAAAGGAAACAACCGGCGAGCTTTTCTCCAAAAGTAAAGCTACGCCTTTCAAAGAAACCAATAAGGATGGAAGTACGAGAAGTCAAAAACCAACTCCGAGCATAAAAAGTGAGGTTACGCGAAAGGAAATTTCAATGAAAAAAATTTATCCGTAAAAATGGAGGAAAAAGAAAAGGAAGGAAAATGATCGGGTCATTATAGAAAATTTCAAGGCAAAATGGAGCATTCTTCGCAGAATTTTCAAACGATCGAGCACTGTTCATTAAAAAAATAATAATTTTTTTTTTTTTTTTCGCATCCCTTATTTCCATGTTTATTGGTTTTATTTTTATGTATGTGTACATACTTGTTATATCTAAAAAATAAAAAATAAAATAAAATAAAAAAGAATTTTTACTTTTATTTTTCATTATTTTGTTCTTGCATCATTTCTTGCTTTTTGTTTTTCATTTCTTGCATTGTACATATTCTTTCATTACATTTTACCTTCTTTATTTTATCTTTTTGTATTTTGTTCATGCAATTTATTCTTTGTTTTTTTTTTTTTTTTTTTTTTTTGCATTTTGTCTATACTTGCTTTCATTAAATGAAAAATATAAAAACTTTCCACCATTGTGCCCTTATGTGTAGTCATGCTAATTTTATATTTTCTATGAGACATGATCTCATATCTCTCTTTCATCTTATGCTATATTGCATTAGAATGCTTAATTTGTTATCTTTATCCCATTTGATATTTGATGTGAGTTTGCTAGTGTGGTTACTCTAATAGGTTGTTGATTCCAAGTTTGGGGGTGCCTACCCTCTAATGGATCATTACCGGGCTTCATATCTTTGCCACCACGGTATATTTTTTTCATCTTTTCCATTGTTCTCATTGCACATTGAGAACAATGTGCGATTTAAGTTTGGGGGTAAGGTGACTTTGTTGCATTCTATTTAAAGTTTGAGCTTTAATTGCATGATTGAGATGTGAAATCCTTGTAGCTATGATTTTGATCTTTTGAGGACCATATTATACTTAGAATTTAAAAATTGCTTGACTTGAGAATCCAATACTCCTTGTATGCCTTGTAGATGCCATTTAGGAGTAAATTTTTCGAAAGATTGATATCTTGCTTGCATTTGTGGTCCATATCATCTTGATTTTGTGATTGTTTTGAGATTCACTCTAGGATTCTACACTAGCACATGCGCACACTAGCATTCATTTGTGGAGTATATGCTTTGTTGATTATTGATTTGGTTATATCCAATTGAGCTAGTAGTGCATTGAAAGTTCTCATTCTTGACAAAGGTGGATAACAAACCCTTTTCACTAAGTAATCAGGATTATAGCCTCATCAAGCACTAAATTTCTCGTGCCGAAAGATGGAGGGCCCAAACTCTAGGTTAAAAAAAAAAAAAAAGTATACAAAAGCAAATAAAAAAAGTGAGGACTTTTCCTAAAAGGTGAGAAATAGAAAATAATTATATGGAAGTTATTTTGATTTGTAGCCTAATTGATTTGAGCTTGTAAGTCTTTAGGGGTGTTTAAACACATAATGTCCTAAAGCCGTCTGGTTTGGGAGTCATTGGCCTAATGCTTGACCTTATGGATAACTATAGAGCTTGAATAAGCCCACCTAATTAAATAAAGTTTTAATAAAAGGTCCATTCTTTGTCTTGATGACCGGTGCTAGATTTGTATGCTAGTTTGAGGCCAAATGTGATCATTTCTTTGGTTGACTTAGATAGCAACATATTTGATGTCGGTTCACCTAAAAAGAATTTTAGAGTTGTTTTGATTCGTATGATCATTGTCTTAATGTATGGAAGACCATACTTGCTTGCTTGATGTTGAGATTTTTGGAGACTGCTTAGAAATGGTTGAAAAATTGTATACTTGAGGTAATTTTCTCCCAATGCTTGTTTTGTATGTTGGTACCTCTTTAGTGAGAAAGAGCTTAATGTTTGTGGGTATCATTTCTAGAAACTCTCACGAGACTTCACTCGTCCGCTAGGGGTAACCTAGGGGTTTAAAAGGCTTGTTGCATATGCTAAATGCAATCTTGTTCCTCATGAAAATGGTTATCATTTCACTGCTTTCTAGTTCGTAGTTATTTAGATGTTTATTTATTTCATCTCCTTGTAGTTCATTGCTAGGGACTAGCAATATCTAACTTAAGGGGTGTGATGAGTGCTCAAATGTAACGCATTATAGCACCTAAGCTAGGGTATTCTAGTCCATTCATCTATCTTACTTTCATGTTTTAGTACTTATTTGTGTTTTTGCCTATTTCAAGTCAATAAGGTTCAAACAAGCTAAGAAGAACCATTTAGCTCATGTTTTGAGTTAAGAAGCAAATCTAGAAAAAAGTCAGAAAATTACACCAGTGAAGCTTTGATCGATCGAATAAAGTCCCGATCGATCGAAAAAGGATACAATCGATAAGGGGTGCCAGCTTAGCAATCCAGATAAGGCTAAGAAGATATTTTCATGACGCATCAGCTTCGATCAATCGAAGTAAGTGTTTGCTCGATTGAAGTTCCCTTCGATCAATCAAAGTGGCTGTTGGCAGTGTGCTGTCTAATTCCTGCACACCCGAACTCTACCTGCCACATAACTACGGGATTAGATATTTTAAGGGCTCATTTTCTGACTTGTTCACTACTCCAAGGACCTTGTATTTAAAGGGAATTGAACCATTTTGTAATCTAACTTTTGTCTTTAATTTTATTTTATTTTTACATTGTAATAGTTAGTTTCTCTCTCTAGAAAAGTTAGAGATTAGGGTTAGAAGAAAAGAAAAGAGTAGGGGCACTAAGAACACATCTTAAGATCTATACACTCTCTCTCTCTAGAATTCAACAAAGAAGAAGAGGAAGAAGATGGAGCCATGGTTGGAGATTGCCCTTGAAGGTTCCAAGATCACATCCACCTCCTCCATTATTGGCTAGACTTCTCCTTGGGGCTTGGATAAGCCCCAAGATTGCAATCTAAACCTCTATCTCTTTCATACTTTTTGGGGAATAATATCTTGTATTTAGTGTTTTAGCCTTGTCAATTTAATGAATCTTGGGTTCTCCTTTGATTTCTATGTATTAATTCTTTCTATTGATTTTCTATGTGATTATATATTGTCTTATGTGTGATTATTTAGGAATTGATCTCTACACTAGTTTTTCTATATTAATTGCATGTCTATGTGTGGTTGATTAAGAATCTAGTAATGGCTATGCATAGTTTTTATTAGATAGGTTTGTCAATTAATTTGATAGATTATGCTTATACTTGATAGGTTATTCTACAATTTAATTCATACTTGTAGGTAGGTAGACAATTTTTACTTGATTTGATATTCCATGGCTTATTATTACAAATTCCATGATTCTCTAGATTAATGTGTGCTACAATTGTAACTAGTTTAATTGGTCATGCTTAAAATTGATGGGTTGTGCTACACTTAATTTATTTGTCAGTTAGGTAGACAATTCATTTTTGAATTTGATGGTCCATGCTTAATATAGCAATTGGTAATCGCATTTTGTTCACAAGAATGTTTTTCCCAAATTAGTTGAAAGTGTGTGATTTGGTGAACGAGCTTGGTGACGATTCCAATGCACCCCAAGACCTCACTTCTCATCTCTTAAATCCTTAACTCAACTTAGTTTATTTTAATTGCATTTTAATTAATTATTTTCTAGAGTAATCAAACAACCCAACCCTCATTTGCAATCAATTGATACATTAGAGTCAAAATTAAATTCCAACACGTACAATCTCTTGGGATGATCCCTTCTCACTCATACTACATAATATAGGTGTTAAGCGGTTTATAAATTTAAAGTATGATGCCCACTTGACACTAATTTCCAAACTCAAAGCGTTGTGCATTATTTTGTACACGCGCTCGGGTTGCATCATAATTAATCTCTAATCTTCCACCTCCAAACTCGGTGAAGCAAATTCGATCTTTTCTTGGCCATGCCAGTTTCTATCAGCATTTGATCAAATGCCTTAGCAAGCCTGTATGCCAACTTCATGCCAAAGACACTCCATTTCTATTTGATGAAACTTGCCTAAAGGCCTTTGAAAAACTCTGATCCCTCCTTTCATCTGCCCTAATCATGAAACCACCCGATTGGTCTCTTCCCTTTGAGATCATGTGTGATGCATCTGACTGCATTAGGTGCGGTTTTAAGCCAACGTGTGGACAAAATCCCACATGCCATTTACTATGCTAGCAAAACTTTATCGGAAGTTCAATTGAACTATACGACAACTGAAAAAAAAAAAAAAAAAAAAAAAAATTGCTAGCTGTCATCTATACCTTGGAAAAATTTTAATCCCATCTTCTTGGATCCAAGGTCATTGTTTTCTTAGACTATGCTGCCTTGAGGCACTTGTTGGCCAAAAAGGAAACCAAAACTCGACTAATTCGTTGGATACTATTACTCCAAGAGTTCAATTATGAAATTCGGGATAAGAAATGAACTAAAAATGTTGTTGCTGACCACCTTTCCTGTATTCTTGTTGAGGCTTCTTCTGATTTCATTCCGGTCTATGACTCATTCTCGGATGAACAACTTTTTCAAGTATCTCATGAAAAACTTCCTTGGTATGCCGACATCGTTAACTACCTTGTTGTCGGTAAAAATCCTACCAACTGGTCCAAACAAGAGAAATACCAGTTCTTTTCCCAAATCAAAATTTTCTTTTGGGAAGATCCAGAGCGGTTCAAATATTGCCCAAACTAAATTATTAGAGATGCAATCCTAAAATTGAGTTCCAAAGTGTCCTCAAATTCTACCACACTCTAGCATGTGAAGGACATTTCAGCGCTAAGAAAACTTTCGCCAAAGTCCTTCAAAGTGGATTTTATTGGCCCTCTCTATTTCAGGATGCATACAATTTCTGTAAATCTTGTGAGCGCTGCCAAAAACTTGGAGCCATTTCTAGAAGAGACATGATGTTGTTCAACCCCATTTTAGTTGTTGAAATCTTTGATGTATGATAAATCGACTTCATGGGACCATTTCCATCCTCTCATGGCTATGAGTACATTCTCGTGGCAGTGGATTACATGTCCAAATGGATTGAAGCTAAGGCTACCAAAACCAATGATCATGCTGTTGTGGTCAAATTCGTTCAAACGAACATTTTCAGCCGGTTTGGTATTCCTAGAGCACTCACTAGTGACGGAGGATCTCATTTTTGCAATCATTATCTAAAATCAGTCCTTCTCAAGTACTCCATCACTCACAAGGTTGCCACACCTTACCATCCTCAAACTAATGGTCAAGTGGATGTATCAAATCGAGAAATCAAGAATATTCTTGAAAAAACAGTTCGACCGAATCACAAAGATTAGCCATTACATCACTCCTGAGCTAACATCCCTCCTCGTATCGGTGATACCTCTCTCAAGATCGGTAACCCTATATACCATCCGGGCATCGAATGATCTGAACTTGGGCTGGAACTGAGTAACATCGCCTCGGAGACTGGAATCAGAGCTAGCGTGCTAAGTGGATGGGCCTATCTGAGCTGCTGGAGGCGGAGGTGGAGCTGATGAAATACCTGTCTGAAACTAGGATGTGGTGGGAGGCTGGGATGTGCCAGAAGTAGTGCGCTGTCTCGACCTAGGAACAAAAGAAGTTGTAGACCCCTCATATGAATCTAAAGTCTGGAGCCTCTTCTTTGTAGCTATTCTCAGGCTGGTCTGATAGGTAGTATAACTCTTCTTCCACTGAGTCACACCATACCTCATGTGATCCCTCCTGTTGGCCAGTTATGGCTCCTCCGCTGGGTCAAGTGGGAAGCCCTGGTCCACTAGAATCTGTGTGATCAAGTGGCCAAAGGGTAAAGACCAAGACTTAGCTTTATCATTCCGTCGAAACACTAAGTTGTCCTAGTACTTATGGAAGATCTCCCATATAAGTGAAGGAACTAATACCCAACATCCCTGGTTAAAACTGTGAAGGGCCTTCAATGAACAGCACAGTATCGATAAACCAAAGCCGTGAGGAAATGTCAACCAGCTTCGCATAGGTGTTGCCTAAATAGGCTGTCTGAGGAGAGAGAGCTGCAGCCATATCTATCTCTGTATGATACTCTGGAATGATCGGGTATAATGGTTGTTCAGTCTATATGACCACTGGAAACATATGGGAGCATCCACAAGCTATCTCAATAAAGACTGTAGAAATGACAATGTCTCACCCATCCACAACAGTATAAAAGATCTGTGGGTCATCCTCATCCCGCCAGAGATGTTGGTAGAATAATGCAACCAACCAGGGTACACCATACCGCTGGTCGACGTAAGAATAGTAGCAATGTCACGTCGGGTCATCTCATCATAGGCCCATTTGGTCTGCTCTGACATTGGGGCGACAATGGGGCCCTCTGGATCCATAGATGGTGCACTGGAAGAAGATGATATAGTCGCCTCAGACTCAGATGAAGAAAACTCCTCCTCTGGAAATGGAGGGGGTTATGGAGGCCTAGCTACTTTCTTCCTAGCAAGTGTTTTTTTCCACTGCATCTGAAAAAATAACATATAGAAATCCATGCACAGTTTTAAAAATGAGGTAAGTATCTACAAAGAAAACATCAAGTATATATGAATCAAGTATAAATAGAGAATATACAGAAATGAACATGTTTGTGTAAGAAATTATCAAGAAAGCTTCAAGAAAAGCATTCAAACCATTTTCTGACATTTTGGAACTAAAACATGCTTCAACAAAACAAAATGGATCATGGCACAATAAACAATCTCATATATGCGAAATGGTGCATTTGTAGCAAAGAGAGCAGAACAAAGTCACTTTTTGAAATTTATGCAAGCATGTAACCAATACGACAAGTCTAGGATGTGATGTGGACAAAATATGCAACGTGAGTTCACAAACCTAAAACTAAAGTGATTTTGCAATTATTCAATCATATAGACCCTAAGACGACATCGTATCATTTCCTAAGCAAGAATGTCTACAATTTCAACATTTAAGGCCAATAGAGCAATCATGGTGATATAGAGGAAACTAGTCATGGCAAATATCTAACTACAACTCAAGAATCATGTATATCATGAAATAGAGAATAAGTGGAATGCACGGTTGCACACACTTCAATCCTAGGCGTGTTATGATACACAAGTTCAAAGACGAATTCTAAACATGGTATGCAACCTATGAAGCATTTGAGAGATGATGCATAACTTTCAAGCCAAACTCCATTAAAAAATATCCCGTCCTCCATTTTCAACAAAATCAACAACCTACGGTCACTTAAAGCTCATGACCCCCTCTAAGCAATTAAAGAACAAAAATGATCGATTATGGCTCGCGACCCCCTTCTAAGCAATATAGAAGCAAACAATGGTATAAAATGAGATAAATGAGAATCTTACCCTTTTTGCATTAAAATCAATAACCGGTTAAGAACCTCGGTCTCAAGCCCTTACAAGCTTTCAAGGATGAACCACAAAGATATAAGACAAGTAAGATGGCATTTCATGTTCAAATTTGCTAAACTTAACCACAAATGAAAATTTGGTTCAAGTTTAAACACATTTCATATCAAGACAACATTCCCCCAAATTTATTTCAAATGGCATTTTCAAAGTTCAATTCCATACACAAAAGTGTGTACTAAGGCCAAGCAATGACAAGATATCCTAGAAAGGCACTTTTGAACGTGAAACATTCAATATCCCCCTAAACTTATTCAAAGATCCATGTTTCATGATATTGCAACAAAGAAGTATTCAAAAGATGTAAACAAGTTTTCAAAACCAACAATGTGACAAAGGTATGTGCAATTTATGACAAGATTATTTACAAGTAAAGAAGCTTGCATTTTATTCCAAAAGCACAACACTTATTCCAAGAAAATTCACATTAGGCCATTTTCAAGCTTATTATGCAACATCACAACATTTGACTTCAAAAAGTTGGGTTCAAGTTGACATTTCATCACATTTTTCAAAAACATCCAAGTTCTTAACAATTTGGCTCAAAAAATATCAAATAGATGCCCTTACACGGCAAGAATCAAGAATTGAGCAAGAATAAACTCAATGGCACTTGAAACATGCATTTGGATGACGAATAGAGCAAATGGAACAAGTTCATCTCATTTAAGGGCATTTTGGGCAACTTTAGAAAATTTCAAAACTGTGGTTCAAAATTGAAATTTTGAAACTTTGGAGTTCAAGTATTCATATGCATTGTAGATAAGCATTCTCACAACAATCATGCATTAAACATTCAACATTTGAAGGAATTTAAAAACTCAACTTCACATTTCAAGTTCAAAGCCCAAAACTCATTTTTAAATTTTGAAAACCAACAACTTATGCATTAATGACATCTCCAACTTTTCAAAGGTCATTTTTCCAATTTTGCATCTTAACCATGAGCGTATATCAATTTAAGACCAAAACATCGCAAAAAGTTCCATTTCAAAACACTTTGATGCATTTAGACTTGAGTTTTCATTTTCAAGACTTAAGAACACAAGTTTTAACTTCAAGTCACATATACATGCATTTAAACAACTTAGACATTCATCCATGCAATTCCACACTTAGGTTTTAACAAATGAAATGAAGACGGGGTCATGCTTTAAAATTGCCAATTCAAAGGAATGCATATCAAACAATTTCAAGAGATTTTGAACTTCTAAGTCTTAACATGGCTCTTCTCTAAGTAATCAAAATTCCAATCACAATTCAACATTTTTCAAATTTCCATTTTAAACAACCAAAGTTCACAATTTAACTTCAACAACTCACAATTCCACTTTCCATTTTAAACAATTCAACTCAAAAAGTTTTTCCCTAACAACTTAATTCCTTTTAATTTCAATTCAAACTTTCAAATTTCCAATTTCCATGTTTCAATTCAATTTAACAAAGAAAACCATTTCAAATATTTGTGACAACAAAGTTCCATTTAAAACTTCGAAACTACAACCCAAGGGTCACATCTTTTTCAATTTCCAAAACTCACAACACATGTATATTATTCATAAAGTTTGCAAAAATTTTAACATCAAATTCAACATGTTAATATGGCATCTCAATATGGCAAATTGGACTTAACAATTTGGATAAATAAAATTCCACATTCACTAAATGTCCATCAATATTGGTATATGTATCACATTTGCAATTTCCAGAAGATCCATCTTTTGCGCTGGAATATGATGTGCAAGCCTAAAGCTAAAGGAGGTTTGGGAATCAGAAAATTAATTGACTGGCAGGTGGCTTCTCATTGTGTTTTAGCCTGGGATTTCTTACTTAGTAAAGACAGACTTTGGGTCCCTTGGTTTCAAAACAAATGTACAGCAAATTCTTCCTATTGGAATGCAGTTCCTAAGTTTACTCACTCAGTTTTGTGGAAAAATTTGATTAATATCAGGGATACAATGCTAAATTCAGTTCATTTTTCAATTGGTACCACGCAATTTAAGTCTTATCTGATCCTTGGTGTGAGGGTGCGACCTTGCTGCAAAAATTTGGACGTAGAAGTATTAGAAGATTGGGGTTTGCTTGGTCCTCTCCTTTGTCTTGTCTCATGAGTAATGGAGGTTGGAATTTTGATATTTTACAAGGAGAAATTTTCAGACCTATTAGGGAATATCTGTGTACTCTGCTAATTCTTGCTAGATCAGACAGTTTTCTTTGGAATGGAGGTACTTTTACATTCAAAAATGCTTGGCAATGTTGCAGGGAGGTTATTCCAGAGGTAACTTGGTCCAAAGTTTGCTGGGGTAAAGCTAGGCCACGCTGGTCAGTTCATGGAGTTTTTCTTTTTCAAGATAGACTCCCTTCAATGTATAATCTGCAGAGAAGAAAAGTGCAGCTACCTCCACGTTGCTCTATCTGTCTCAAGAGATTGATACTAGAAACCATGTGTTTGTTCAATGTCCTTTTGCAAGGAATTTCTGGAATTCATTGCAAGTTACTCTTGGACTGATGATTGATTTCAATTTAATTCACACAGTTGAAGAGTTACTGATCTGGTTTTTACAACAGAGTAGTAAAATGTTACATACTCTTTTAGTTGCTGGTTTTTGGAGTATTTGGAAAGAGAGAAATTCTAGACTATATGGACACAGTACCAGTTCTTCCTCTGAGGTGGCTAGACAAATTTTGTTGGAAGTTCTTGATATTTTTAATGTCTCTTTTAGAGACATTAGTTAGTTTGTATTCTTTTTACTTTTTTTCTTTCCTGAATATATTTTTTTTTAATACAAAAACCATTTATGAAAAAAAAAAAATTATTCAATGTCACAGTCCCAGATTTCATTTTTTTTTTTTTTCACAGTTTATTTCAACAACACAACAAAGCCAATTCATTTAAAGCCCATCCTCCTTTCATCAACACTGCAAAACAATTCACAGCCCAAATTTTCAGCCCATTCTCCTTTCACAATAACACACACTGCCCACTTTCCATCAACAACAAACATATTTTCCATTCACAAAAACAGCAACCCAAACTTCAACCACAAAAATTTAGCCCAACCTCCACAATTTCAACATCACAGTGCATACAAACAAGTCCCAATGTCCATAGTCAAATTTCAGTTTCAGACAATCTTAGTTTCTTTTTCAATTTTTCAATTATTCAAATTTTTGGTTTTTCATTTTGAATTTCATAGCTGCATAAATACATAAAAATGAAAAAATAAATAAAAAAAAATGAAAAACAGAAATTAAATGAGAATCCCCACATACCCGCGAGAGAAGAAGAGGAAACTGAGAGAGACTTAGAAAGATTCTGGAATTTTCGGCCAAACCGTGGCCGGAGAAGGTGATGGAAGCTCGCCGGAAGTTGCAGAGATGCCGGCGGTTTCTCCTTGGCCTAAATTGGCCGGAGAAAGAGAGAATAGAGACTTCAATGAGAGACAAACTGCAAGTAGAAGAAGGAGAGCTTGGCCTTTTGTCCAAGAGCTCTGTGGCAGTAGAAAGAAGATGGCGGCGACGAAGACTTCGGGTTCGCCGAAGTTAACAGAGATAGAGGTGGGGACTGGGTTGTGGTTGGGGATGGTGGGAGATTGAGAGGAAAGATGGGTGGTGGCTAGGGAAGTTTGAGAGGGAAGATGGGTGGTTGACTTCGGGTTCGCCGAAGGAAGAGAGGGAATGAGGGAGGAAGAGAAAAAAATAAATAAAGAAAAGAAAAGAAAGAAAGAAAGAAAAGGAAGAGAGAGGAGAGAGAGAGAGAGAAAAAAAATATATTAGGATTAGGGGTAGGTATGGAATACCAACGGCTAAAGCACATTTTTAAAATTGATCAGTCATAGTGCGATCGATAGTAGATTGGCGATCGTTCATTGATTAGGCATGATCCATCGTGACCCAAAATTGATTTTTGAAGAAGGAATTTTTGGCTCCAGGTCGATCGATCACTGAAAGTGGTGATCGATCGTGAATATTCACAAAAGATGAAGGAAGATGAAAGGTCCTGGTGCGATCGATCACTAAGGTTGGTGATCGATCGTCAAGTTGACGAACGAGAAGTTTGGAATTTTTGATACACAAGTGCAACCGATCGCCATGATCAGCGATCGACCGTTAATACTCACGAAGGATAGATACCGAGAGGTGATTTCAAGGCAAAATTGGACTCTGCAGATGGTGATCGATCGTAAAACCATCGCCAAAAAAGTGTGATCGATCGTCAATGATACAGAAAGTGCAAGAAATGCTAAAAAATGCCCGAAAACTCAAATGAAACACTTTGAAACTTATCTAAACGACACAAGAAGATAACAAAAGAATAAATGAGGGAGGAATAAGGTTTAAAAACCCTAAGAATGCTAGTGTTTAACATCTCTAGCAAGACATTAGGTTACTTAGCCCGAATCAAAAATCTAGAATCAAGGTGCCTTACATTCCCTTCTCAATGGGATGTAAGGCACCTTGAATCCCACCCAACAAATTATTCCCTAAGGAATTTGTTGGATTTGAATCAATGTTGTAAAATGGACTTCTATAACACCCAAAGACGGACTTTTAGGCTTCCATGCCTTCTCAAACTTGGATTTTGAAGTAAAATCTTGGGAAGAATCATTGGAGGGGAGTACACTTGATTTTGGTAACTCAACAATTAGTAGAACTTTAACCACTTTTTCAACAATTCTATCAACAACATTGACCTATTCATGCTTGTCAAAAGAGTTTGGGGATGTTTAATTTTACCTTCATGTGCCCAAAAAAAAATTTCATTACCCCCGTCCTACGATTGATATTAGCATTGGCGGTGGCCAAGAAAGGACGGCCAAGGATAACGGGAATTTGACTCTTTGGGTTGGCGATCGGTTCTGTGTCTATGACAACGAAATCAACCAGGAAAAAGAACTTATCAACTTTAATCAACACGTCCTCAATGATCTCATGGGGCTTTTTTATAGACCGGTCAGCTAGTTACAAAACTACCGATGTTGGTTTCAAATCTCTCAAACCTAATTAAACATAAACCGAATAAGGAAGAAGGTTCACACTCGCTCCTAAATCCAAAAGAGCTCTATTGATAACATGATCACCTATGGTGCATGATGTGGTAGGAGAGTCGGGATCTTCAAACTTTGGGAGGGTGTTATGTTTCAAAATAGAACTCACTTGCTCAGTGAGCAAAACTTTCCTAGGTGTTTGGCTCTTGGATTTCCTCTTTTGTGTGCACAAGTCCTTCAAAAACTTTGCATAAGCCGGGATTTGATGAATGGCATCAAGTAGAGGGAGATTCACTTTAACTTTCCTAAACACCTCAATCATTTCATTGATTTTGCCTTATTGTTTCTTAAAATATGAAGATTTTTGTAAAGCTTGTGGAAACAGAGCTTTTGGCTCACAAGGTTTTTCAAAAGCACTAGATGATGATGGTTTATCCTCAATGTGATCCTTTAACTTTAGTAAAGAAGGAATAGGATCAAAAATAGGTTGGGTGTCAACACTTGGTTGCACTGGTTCACTCTTTTCATTAGGTGCCTCAACTTTGTTGTCAATCACTCTTCCACTTCTCAAAGTGGTGATAGAATTCACTTGTTCATGTGTGGGGCATCCCGATGGGGGAGTTGCTTTCACCATATATTGAGGTTTGGCCTCGGGGTGAAAAAGCAATTTCCCATTCTCCTTAGCATTCAAAGTACTAGCTATTTGCCCTATTTGGGTTTCTAGCTTTACAATGGATTAAGAATGGGAATGAAGCAATAGGGTATTAGCATCCAAGCTTCCCAAAGCCAACAAGACTTTTTCTTCAAAAGCGGAGTTCCTAGGAGGAACTTGAGAATAGGAATGAGAGTTAGACGCTTGAAGATTAGATGATTGGTTCACATTAAAAAGAGAGTAATACGGACGATACCCTTGAGAATTTTGATTTTGCAAATGAGGGGGAACATACTTAGCTTGGTAACCTTGATTTTGAGGAGGGTTCGCACTATCTCCTTGGTTTTTCCAAGAAAAGTTCAGGTGATTTCTCCAACCCGGATTATAATGATTTAAGTATGGATTGTTCCCTTGATCAGTGAAAGCGGCATTCACTTATTCATGTTGCTCACTTTGAACATGTCTATGAGGACAATTGAAAATATTATGAAGCACATTAGAACTTGTCATGCACATCTCTTGAGGATTACGAGGAGAGGAAGATGCTTGATTGGCCGAGTTTTGATTCATCAAGAATTAATCAAACATTTGAGTCAAGGTTTTAACTTCGACAACAATGTCATTGGAACTCTCTACTTGACATAAGTTCGAGTTCTTCTTCCCTCCTAAATTAGAATTTCGGGATTGGTGAGAAGATAGCGATTTATGCATAGAGTTTTAACTCATGTTCTCAAATAATTACCATATGTCATCCTCATGCTTGTCCAAATATGATCCTCCACACGAAGCATCTACCATACCCTTATGGGTTTCGGATAAGCTTTCATAGAAATATTGTATTAATTGCCATTTTGGAATGTCATGATATGGACACTTCCTAAGCAAATCGTTCAATCTTTCCCACGCATTATGTAGAAACTCTCCATCCCCTTATGAAAATTCATGAATAGAAGTTCGCATGGCATTGGTTCAAGAAGCGGGGTAATACTTCCTTAAGAATTCTTGTTGCATTTCCGTCCAAGATGTTGTGGTATTAGGCCTTAAGTTAGCGAACCAATATTTGGTTTTATCCTTAAGAGTGAAAGGAAAAAGCTTCAATCTAAGAACTTCCTCCGGTATATCCGTGTATTTCACTGTGAAGCATACCTCAAGAAACTCATCCAAATGTTTATAGGGTTCTTCATTGCTTAACCCATAGAAATTCGGACACATTTGAATAGTGATAGGTTTGATCTCATAGTAATGCGCCCTAAAATTTTGAAGCCGGATAAATGTCGGGGCATTATACTCATTGGGCATATAATGGTCTTTCAAAACCATTGGGGAATTGGGAACTTATTGCTCTACTTATGCCCTAAAAGGAACTTAACCTATGGGAAGAGGTGGCACAAAGATTGGCCGTGGCATTCCAAAAGGAATTTGGCCAATTGGTGGGTGCGAAACAAAAGGTGGCCTTGGCGTTCCCAAAGGAATTTACACATTGTTGGGTTGTGGCCCAACATTTGGATGACAATTGCTTTGTTGGTCTACATGGCCAAGGTCTTCAATGTGATCTTCCATTGATGTAATGGAGTGATAAAAAATCGGAAGAATTTGACTAGAACTACCTCTACCCCTTGGATTATAAATGGTGGATTCAAGATTTAAATTCAAAGAAATAAGAGGTGGATTAAGTGACCTTCGACTATGCATGCATAAAACAAGTCAACACACCAACAATAACAACAAATATCAGTAACTTCTCCTCCACAACAACAATCAATCAACCTCCACATACAATGTTCCCATACTCCCATGCTTTCAGCATTTACAATAAGTGACCGCGACAAGGACCGATGCTTTAACAATATTAACAAGGCCTCAACAAGGACCAAAGTACAATTAGGGTAAATGAGTTCAAGATACGCTCACAAAGTTCCCAAGCAATAATAGCATTTTCAAGATTCAATGCTTGCTTCAAAGTCCAATGCGTGCTTTCCTTGCCTTCAAGTACCTAATTGCAAAAGTAACAAGTGAGAAAACAAAAATAAAAGTAAAGACAAGGGATCAAAAGAGTACTAATTCCTATTTTGATTCCAAATACGTCCGTTGACAATCCCTGGCAATGGCACCAAAAAAACGTGGTGTTGGTCCAAGTGCGTGCACAAAAATATGTCAATTTAGAAGTGCGTCAAGTGGCCACCACATTAAAAAATTTATAAAACCATTAGACACTTATACTATATAGTATAAAATGTAAAGGGATCGTCCCAAGAGATTGTAAGGATATTTGGAAATAAATTCGAATTAGTAGGTCAAGTGATCAAAAGAGTGGTTTGGTTGGGTTTGATTAAGTTATGATTAACTAAATTAAACAATGCAAAAAGAAGCAAGCTAAATAAAGTAGGGTATAAAGAATAAGAGAGAAGTCTTAAGGCATAGGAATCACAACATTAAGCTCTTCCTCTAAACATCTAGCCTTTAGCAATTTGAGGGAATTCAATGTTGTAACCAAAGTGTGTGCTACCAATTGAAACAATGAGTATGGGTGACAAAAACAAGCATGAATTGTTTACTTAAACTAGGATGTAGTACAACTCATCAAGTTAAGGTATGAACCATTCAATAAACCCACAATTGTAGCACACATCAATCTAGAGAAATATACATCTTGCAACAAAAAACATGGATTATCAAATTCAAACATGGATTGTCTACCTAATCTAGGAATTGAAATATAATTACACTAAGACAAGGAAATTAAACTAATTAACTAAAGGTGTAGAACAATTCATTAAGCATGAGCATAATCCATCAAATCAATTCACAAGAGTATCCAATTATAATAATCATGCATAACCATCACTAGATTCTTAATTTAATCACACATAGACATTCACCAAATCTAGAGAAACTAGTGTAGAGATATAACCCTCAATTTAATCACACATAGACATGCAAATAAACTAGAGAATTAATTGGAAGAATTGAACCATACAAATCATAGATAAAGTCAAGATCTATATAATCACAAGGTTAAAACATTTATTACAACATAGAATCCCCAAAAATGTCAAAGGTCTAGGGTTTAGAGTATAAGCATAGGGCTTTTCTAAGCCCTAAG